AACTTGTTATTCACGAAACTTAATATCAACCAAAAACAACATTCAATTTTCATAATATAACAACAATAAATAAACAAAGCAAAAATGGGTAATATTTGTTGTTGTTGCATTAAAAGGTCACATACACCATACGATCCTTTCATTTATGATCAAGAGTATGAAGATTATTATGATGCTAATCGTAAGTATACTCACACAAAATAGTTATATAAATATAAAATTGTTACTAACATTTCTTTTGTTTGTTTAGCACTTGACCCTAGAATAATTAATACATATAACCCACCATCAGTTATCCGTCTTGATGGTTCAAATTATAAAGAACCAGATAATAATAATAATATAAACAGCTCAGTCATAAACGTAAATGACTATTATAGTAACAATAACAACAACAGTAAAGTTTTTATAAACTCAAAACAACCACAGCAACAAGACTCTAGATATATGACTTCTTCATTTAGTGATTTACATAAAGGTTACCAAGAACAATCAAGTTCATTTAAAGAAACATTTGTACATAATAATAATAACAACAACAATAATAATAATAATAATAATGATAGTAACAGCACATATAAAGCTTTTCAAGAAGATACAGAGGATGAAGAAAACAGCGATCTCTATGAAACTGAACAATATCAACAACAACAACAACAACAAAATAAGCAACAACCACAACCACATTCAGATCAATTTTATTCCCACTATACAAACTTTACAGAATCACATTATGATGCAAATCCACCAACTACAGATTTAGGTGTTACAGATTCAATAATGGATTCAATTTTATTAGGTGTAAATAATAATAATAATAATAATAATAATAATAATAATAGTAATAGTAATAATAAATCGAATGTTAGGTTCCAAAACAATTTTAATAATAATAATAGTTTAAATAATACAACAACTTCAAGCTCAAACCAAAATGAAAATCTTAATTCAAATGTATTTAATTCAACCAATTCTAGCTTAAACTCATCCATAAACGTAGATGGTTCTGTTTATTACGATGCCCATGGATCATTTAGCAGCCAATAGTCATAATATCAATATACATTAAATCATTAATAAATAAATATAATATCAAATATAAAATACATTATTTTAATATATAAAATAAAAATATAACAAACAACCTTAAAATAACATATTTATATATAATTAAAAAAAGCATAATAATCATTATATAAAGTGATGTTTATAACTATAATATTTAATAAATTATTTTTATTTTTATTATAACACAATTTAATTTTTTTTTTTATTATTTTTTATCTTTATTTAAAACTATGATATTAGTAATAGTTACTAAAATTTTCACATTGTTTACTGAAAATATTTTACATTTTTTATAAAAAAAATCTTTCAATTTTACAATGATTATTTTTATAATTTTTTGTTTTTAAACTATTTTTTTAAAATAAAACAAAGTATAAAGAAATAAAAATAATGATAAGAACGAATAATACTCCACAAGATGCTAATCAAATATTATTTCAAATTGATTTCCCTCCTTTTCCTTTATATGAAAAAAAAGTTTCAAATATTAAAATCGTTTCCTCAGAGGTCATCTTCCCAAACTAATTATAACAAACAATAAAAAGCTAACATAGAAAAGCAAATAAATAAAATAATAATAAATATGTATAGGTATTAATAACTATGGCTTTATTGTTTTGGTTTTAGATTATTTATATATTATAAATAAAAAAAAAAAAGATATTTTATAATTTTATTAAAAAAAAAAAAAAGAAAAGATTAAAAAAAAAAGATAAATTTGAATTTTATATTTAATATAGTTTGCTGAAATCTTCATAAGGTAAAGTGAGGGTTGTTCCATCTGATAGTTTTAAAGTTGCATTAAACTTTTCGAAATTGACATCCTTCATTGAAGCAACTTTGCCTCTATATTTTCCATTTAATACCATTACCTCGCTGCCGACCTGTGGGATAACTGTTTCTAAAAATATTTGATCAATTTTTAAAATATCTGAGGTATCTAAAAGTTTAACTCTGGCTAAAAATTCATTTTCCACTGACATGATGTACCCTTTCTTTTTATAGTATTTTCCATCTGATAATTGTTTATCGACAATTTTAACAACGATATCTTTAATAATCCATGGTACTTCTTTTTTCGATGTATTTGTAGTTGAGGTTGATGTAGTAGTTGTAGTGTTTTGGTGTTTTTCTTGGTCTTTTCTTTTTTGAAACTCTTGTTTTTCTTTTTCTTTTAACATTATTTCCTCCATTGCTGTTAATTTCTTTGCATATGGTTTTGGATTGGTTTCGTCATTACTTATCTTTTTGCTATCGTTGGTGCTGCTGCTAGTGCTAACAAATATATTTTTATCGTATGCTAATTTTGAAGAGTTTGTTTTTAAAGTTAAACCTATATTTGCTAATTGTTCTTTATCCTCTTGAGTTAGTTCAGAAGGTTTAATCTTTTCTTCATCTAATGTATCAAACTTGTTTAATTCTTTTAATCTTTTTTCAATTTCAATTTTTTGTCTTTCTTCTTCAAGAATTTCCATTTTCTCTTTCTTTTCTTCATTTTCCTAAAAATATAATAAAAAAGAAAAAACAAAAGTTAATACCAAGGTAATATAGATAATAAAACATATATATATATATATAGATGGTTGTTAACTTACTTTTTTGTTTATATATGCTGGATCTCTATTTATATAAGAAATAAGCCATCCTTTGGGTGTTTCCTCTACTATACATTTACTTGTTTTGCCCAAGTATTTTACAAACTCTGATAATGTAGTCCATTGTGTAGAGTTCATATGAACATGATGTCTATCTTTAATATAATCTGAATAAACCTGATTTGCTGATACCTTTGAGTTTAAATATTGTCTAGATAATAATCTTATAAAATCCTCTTCAAATTCTTTAGAGTATTGGTCAACAATAAAATTAGATCTACCTGAAAAAACTTCCATTTGTCTTTGATGACCTTCAGAATCAATATGGCACTAAATAAATACATGGAAATAGTAATAATAACAACATTAGATTTAGTTTATATTTTATATATATAAAATAGTATAATATAGTTACCTTAAAACCATTTTCGTCACGACATTGTTTTTGACATAACTGACAATACCATCTTAATTTTTGTAAACCTTTGGCTTTAATTTTATTTGCGATTGCTTTTGGTGTTAATGCTTCAGCTTTACCCATTTTTTTAAAACAAATAACAATTTAAAAAAAAGATATATAATGAATGTGTGTGGGTTTTATTATTTTTTAATATAAAAAGAAAAAATAAATAAAAATAAAAAAAATTTAAAAAAATAAAAAATTATTTATTTTTTTTAAAATATTTTAATTTTTTTTTTAAAATAATTATTTTATTTATATTTTTTTCTTTTTCAAAAATTTCAACAAAACGAATAATTTTAACTCATTTCGTTAATTAAAATTTTTTAAATATAATTAAAAATATAAATAAATAAACATACAATGGAAAAAAATGATAAAAAAGATGTTACATTATTATTAGGTAAAAAACTATTACTAGGATGGACAATGTTAAATGACGTTTGTAAAGATTGTGTTATTGTGCCATTGGTAGAAGATAAAAAGAATAATGTCATATTGTGCGTATCCTGTGACAGAACCCTTAAAAGAGACGAAAAAAAGAATATTGTAGAAGATAAATTAAATATTCATAAAGATTCAAACGATATTATTAATATAGTTTCATCAACTGCCTCAACCCCAATACCATCCCCAACAACCATTGAGGATATTAGCAAAAAAGATATCGAAATGAAAGATCAAACTGATAATAATAATAATAATAACAATAACAATAAACCAATTTCAAATAAAAACAACTATTCAACATCCTATTATGACGACTATGACGATTATGACTATGACGAAGATATCGAACCATTGACCGAAGAAGAAAAAATATTAATCGAAAAAAAAATTAAGAAATCTGACGAATTTAGTTCAAAGATGGGTGAATTTTTATTAAAAGGCTGGACTCTACTTTCTGATATATGTCCAAATTATGACTGCTTTGGAGTTCCATTATTAAAAGATAGGGAAAAAAGATTTTATTGTGTATCATGTCAACAATCAGGTTTAAATGTTGGTGATTTAAAAATAAAACAACAACCACAACAACCAACACAACAACCACAACCACAACCACAACAATCACAACCACAAGTACCACAGCAAGTACCTCAATTAACACAACAACAACAAAAATCAATAGTAACACAAAACGATATATCATCAGAAACTATTGAAAATAAAGTTAATATTACACCAATTAAATCCAACAACACCAATCCAATAAATCACTATAGTAACATATCACCTCCATACCCAGAGCCAGATCAAAAAAAACAAAAAATGGTAGCACCATTCACACCAACACAAAATAAACATAACAATTCATTTTTATCACAAACATCATTCACCTCAACAAATTCATCCATTATCAACGAAGAAATTCAAGAGTTACCAGATTTCACCGATCACACATTAAAAATATTATTCGAAAAACTTAAAGATGCCCAAACACAATTAGTCCAAACAAACAATGTACAATATTGCTCTTTAATTAGAGAATACAGTTTAACAATATCATCACTTTTAGAAATGAAAAAGAATTGGATATAAAAGTTTAATAAAATAAAATATATCTAGATATAAACATAAACACAAATATAAATTTGTTTAAATTTTTTTTTTTTATTTATTTTTTATTTATTTTCTTTTTCTTTTTTTTTTTTTCTTTTTTTTTTTTTATAATAAAATAACTATATTTTCTTTATTTCTATATTATTTATATTATTATTAATATATTATTATTTATTTATATTATTATACTAATATATAAAATAATAATAATAATGTGTGTATTTATTATTATATTAATATGGTTTGAATTTTCTAGCGGCTGTAATTTTGGCGATTTTTTGTTTATCTTCTTCGAATTTCTTTCTGAGGGTTTCCAATTCATCTTTCTTTTGTTGTCTATGTTGGAAGGCATAAAAGTTCTTTTTCTCTTTTTTGGCTATTAAAGCTTTAACCTCTTCAGCTGTCATAATCTTTGCACTTGATGGACCAACAGTAACAAAACCATCGGCATCTGGGACTTGTCTTTGTTTTGATCTCTTTTTAGTTTCTAAAGCTCTTCTATCGTAATCCATCATTATACTATCTAATTTCTCCTGTAATAAATCATAGTCGGTGATAACATTTGAATTGTATTGATTTGTCATTGAATCGAAACCATTGCCATTGATTGCTGGTTGTTGAATTAAAAGTGTGTGTGATTTCTTTAAGAACAATTGGAGTGAATCTTGATCGTTCATAACGATGTGAGCTACATGTAATGTTGTTTCGTCAATCTTTTCTACAGCTTCCTCTTCATCATCATAATATTGTTGTGGTTGCTCTTCTTTTGGTTTTGGTTGTCCAAAGTGAACTGATTCGATATAATCATATTTAAATAACTTTTTAATATCATCGAGTGTTTTACAATTACTTGGTAAATTGGTTACAAATAATGTCTTGTTGGATGGCCATTTCTTTGATGTTTCTTTTTTAATATATAGATATTTTTTAAATACTGAGTTTTCGATTGTGATTGGTAGAATATTAAATCCGCTAATTGTACTATCCTTAACTTTTTTATTTTTAATTTCTGAATCACTATCTGAACTATCTGAACTATCAATTTCTTTTTGTTTTTTTAATTTTTTATTTTTATTATCTACAAGCTGTTCTTTAATATTTTTAATATTATTTTTATTTTTTGGTTCTGGTTTTTGTTTTTGCTCTGGTTCTTGTTCTTGTTCTGGTTCTTGTTCTGGCTCTTGTTCTTGTTCTTGTTCTGGCTCTTCAATGGTTTGCTCTTGTTCAACCATATCATTAACTTCCTCTTCTATTTGTTGAATTGGTTCCTCTACAACTTTTTTATTTGATTTTTTTGGTTTTTTATCTGTAACTGATTTTTTAACAGTTGCTTTATTTGATTTAGTTGTAGAGGTTAATGACTTTTTTGGGACTGTATCTGATGTAGTGGCTGTGTTGGTGGTAGTACCACAACTGATAACTTTTGGCATAACTAATGGTTTATCTGAAATCTTTAATGTTTTATTAAATAATTGGGTTTGATTTTTACTGGTTTCGAAAATGACTTTTTTCTTTTCTTCTTTTTCAACTTTAGTCTTTTTTAAAATTGGTTTTGTTATTATAATTTTTTCTTCAATTACTTCAGTATTATTTACAGATTCTTCTACTACTTTTGGTGTAGTAGTTTCAGTTGGTTTTTTTTTTAATGAAAATTTAGAAGCTAATTTCTTTCTTTGCATATTTATATTATTTATATATCTTTAAAAAATATATAAACAAATTTAAATTTAAAGAAAAAAAAAATAAAAAATAAAACGAAAAACGAAAAAAAAAAAATTAAAAAAAATTAAAAATTAAAAATAAAAATTAAAAATAAAAAATTAAAAAAAATAATTTTTTTTTTTTTATTTTTTTTAATATTTTAAAATTTAAATTGTTTTTTTTTAAATTATTACAATGAATGATAAAGATGGAGATATAAAAGATAGAAGAGAATTATATAGGGATAAAAGTCCAAGTAGAGAAAGAAATAGAGAAAGATATAGAGATGGATCAAGGTCAAGGGAAAGATATAGAGATAATAGAAATAGATCAAGATCAAGATCAAGGTCAAATGATAAATATAAAAGTAGAGATAGAGGAATAGACAGGGAACGAGATAGTGAGAGAAGTAGAGGGGGAGACAGGGACAGAAACAAATCGCCTGATGTAAGTAGAAATAGAGATGAATCTAGAGAAAGAAAAAATAGAAGTTTATCAAGAGATAAAAAAAAAAGATATAGGTCAAGATCAAGATCAAGATCACTATCCTCCGATTCATCTTATTCAGATACATCATCAGACTCGTCATCAGACTCATCATCACCATATGAGGAAAGAAAGAAAAGAAAAAAGAAAGAGAAAAAAGAGAAAAAAGAGAAAAAAGAAAAAAAAGAAAAAGAAAAAAAGAAAAAGAAAAAAGAAGAAAAAAAATTAAAAAAAGAATTAAAAAGAGAAAAGAAAAAATTGAAATTAGAAAAAAAACTTTCAACATCAAAAATAACCACAACAACAACAACTACACCAACTACAAATGTTAATGAAAATAAGCGTAGGATGGGTCCATTGTCAGATTTTGAATATGAAAAATTAAGAAGCACCTATACCGAAGTCTATGATGAAGATACTGGAAGAATGAGGGCTGTTAGAGGCGATGGTGAAATTATCGAAAGAATAGTAACAAAAGAGCAGCACAAGGCAATCAACTATATAGCAACCCATCATCCAACCAAATATGATTAAATGCAAATAATAATTTAAAAGTAAATTTGTATTGTAAATATTTAAAAATAAAGTTAAAAAAAAAAAAAAAAGCATAATACTATAAACTATATAGCACTATTTTCTTTATATATTTATTTTATTGTCTTTAATATCACTTTCAATATTATTTTTCTCAATGATATTGTTGTTTAATAATAAATATTTTTCAATGTCATTAAAATGAACAACTTCTTGGGTTCTTTCATTCATATTTTTGATGCAGACAGAGTTACTCTTCATTTCATCTTCACCAAAGATGACTACAAAATTTGGATTAAATTTTGAAATTTTCTTTAATTGTTTTGTCATATTTTCTTCATCCAATTTAAAAGTTGGAAGCACTGTATAAAAACCATTCTTTCTTAATCTTGAACATAAGCTCATTGCACTATCTGAAAAAATTTGATTACCAATAACGATACCAATAGGATTTGATTTCTTTGGTATAATATCTTGATTAATATATATTAAGATTCTATCGATACCTGATGCCCAACTATATTGATAATAAAAATGGAATGTTAATATATATAAAAGTTATGGGTTCCTTTATAAAACCTATATTAAAAAATAGCTACCCTATAGATGGTAAAATTTCATTGTGTTTGTAACCTATATTATTTGCTAAACCGTCATATCTACCACCACCTAAAATTGCCAAATTATCTTTTAAGATTATAATTTCAAAAATTGTATGTCTGTAGTAATCCAAACCACGTACCAAACCATTGTCAATTTGATATTTAATACCCAAGTTATCCAAGCCTTCTAAAACTGATTTAAATCTTTGTTTACATGAATCTGATAGATAGTTTTGTAAAAGAGGAGCATCTTTATTGATTTCAATATCACCTTTGTCTTTTGAGTCTAAAATTCTTAATGCATTACCTCTTTGTAGACGTTTTATTGAATCTGGTGATAGTTTATCGATTTTACCTTGATAAAATTCAGTTAATGCATCGCTATAAGTTTTGATTGAGTTTTTATCCCCTAATGAATTGATCTTTAAGTGGAATTGGTCTGATGGAATACCCAATTTTTCAATAAAGTGATATGCCATATCTATGATTTCGACATCGGATCTTGGATGTGAATCTCCAATTAACTCTGCACCAAATTGTTCGAATTGTCTTTGTCTACCTTTTTGTGGTCTTTCATAACGAAACATTGGACCGCTATAATAATACTTTTGAGTTGGTGATGTACTAGTAGTTGAACCTTCATTTATAATTGCCCTAATCACACCTGCTGTTCCTTCTGGTCTTAAACAAATAGCCTGACCTGATAAATCTTTAAAAGTAAACATCTCTTTCATTACTATATCTGAATATTCTCCAACTGATCTATTAAATAACTCGAATGGTTCTATAATCGGTGTTGAAATCTCTTCATATCCATAAAGTTCTGAAACACTTTTACCAATTTGATTTACAAAACTATAAACTCTTTTTTCATTTGGAAAGTAATCATATGTCCCTTTAATTGATTTTAAATTATTGTTATTAACACTATTATTATTAATATTATTGGTTGTTGAGTAATTTAAAGATAATATTGATTTAAATAATCTACTGTTATTAAACTTTATTGATTTTGATGACGATAAAATTATATTTATCATTATTGGTTGTATATCTAATATGTGAATATATTCGTGTTGTGTGAAATTTTTTAAAATATTTTTTATTGGGCGTTTTTTTGAAAATTTGTTTGTGTGTTGTGTGTTGGTGTTTTTGTTTTTTTTTCTTAATATATATCGTATCTATTTAATAATGATATTATAATCTAAATTTAATTGGTTTATCTAAATACTGATTAATAATAAATAATTTTTTTTAAATAATTTAAATAAAATTTTTTTTACAAAAAAAAAAAATTCACAAAAAATAATTTTTTTTTTTATTTTTTTATATTTATTATTTTAAATTTATTTTTTTTCAACAAAAATATCAATCATCATTTTTTTCTTTTTTTTTTTTTTTTGTATGTGCTTCTTTTTGTTTTTTGTTTTTTAGTATTGGTGTGTGTGTGTGATATTTATCAAATATTTAAATTTATAGTTTGTGTTATATAGTAATATTATTAACAATAAAAGAATGAATTATGATGAAAATTTTATTCAAAAACAAAGAGCAGTTAAATTATGGATAGAATATATATTAAATATTAATCTTGGTAATAACAGCATATTCGATTCACTTCGTGATGGTACAATTCTATGCAAGATTATGAATAAATTTCACAACAGAATCGATTTTATTCATTATAGCGATATAGCACCTTTACCATTTAAACAAATCGAAAATATAAATCTATTTTTAAAGAAATGCAGGTTTGTTGAAAAAATTAATAAAATATGAGTAATATTTTAAATTTTATTAATATTTATTTATTTAATATGTTCATCTAATTTATAGGTTATATGTTCCAAATGAATATTTATTCAATACAAATGACTTGGTAAATAATGAAAGAACTGAACTGGTTTTAGATTGTCTAATTAAACTATCAGAGTACTTTGAAATTCACAGAATGGTACCAGTTAATGAAGAAGGAGAATTTGAAAATTTTTTAGATCCAATAGAAAATAATAATAATAATTTATATTTTAATAGTAATAATAACGAACAAACATTTACAGATGGTAATGAAAGAGAAAACTATTTTAGACAACAACAACAACAACAAGAAAGAGAAGAACAAAATAATAGTGGTATAAGCAGTAGTGATAATAGTTACCGAGATGACGAAAATAATAGTACTGCTGGTGAAATAGTTTATAACAAGAATTACAATATTGCAAATAACAATAATAAAAGAAAAATCAACAAAAAGAAACTTATTTTAGATTGTATTATAGAAATTAAATATTCAGTTATTATTCCATTATTTGTCTCAGTTGCCGCTGGGTTTGGTATTAAAATGGGCAGAACCATGTTTGTAGCAATAGAATCTTTTAATTATTCATTATTTATTTCAAATTCATATTCCTTTTTATTGGGTAAGTTAACTTCAAAATTAGATGCAATTCCAAAATTTATAAAATATGATCAAATTAAAGATTATTTATCAAATTTAAATTTAAACCTATCAAATAAATAAAATAAAAACATTTCCTAAACCAATTACTTTCTTGTTTTTTTATTTTTTTTTATTAAAAACTAAATAATTAATTAGTTCCCAAAATATTGCAACAAATAATATTATATTAAAAAAATTTAAAAAAATATAAAAAAAATAAGAAAAAGAGATTTTATAATTGTTTTTAAAACTATTTTTTCTAAAAATATTTTAATTATTTTACAGTTTTTTATTTTATATTAAATTTAAAAAAAAACTTTTTATAGTTTTTTTTTTTTTAAATAAATTATTATTATGATTTAAATAAATTTTTTTTTTTTCTGTTTTTTTAAAAATTACTTATTTAATTTTTCTTTGGAGCATTGTTACCAATTAAACCATTGGCAGTGTTGAAAAGATTGACTGGGCTGTTACCATCAGTAATCATAACAGATTTAAGGTTAAGTGAACCAAGGAGTTTGGCTTGGGTTTCTGGACCAGCTTTAGCCATTGAAACAATAGCTTCACGACCAATTGAATCAACCATAGCTTTGAATTTGGAGGCTTCGATTTCTGATAATTCGGAAGCTTTGCTGATTTCTAATTCATCAATTGATTTTTTGTAGTTGAGTTCGTTTTCTCTTTGACTCTTGAGGATATTAATTTCTGATTCAGCACGGATTTTGAGGGCTTGAGCTTTTAATTCAGCTTGTTTGACATTAGCTTCGGCAGCAATAGTGGCAGCTTCTGCGGTAGCTTGAGCTTCAGCAATAGCTTGACCACTAGATTCGACGGTAGCTGATTGAGCTTGGAGTTGTAAGAGTTCTTTACGAGCCATTTCAGATTGAGCTTCATCAGTAATCTTTTGACGTTCGAGACGACCACGAGCACCTTGTTCTAATTTTTCAGCTTCGTGTCTGGCAGCAGCTTCTTGTGATTTAGTGGTAATTTCAATGGCTAATTGAACTGATTTTTGTAATGAATCACGAGTTCTTTGATCGACTGGTTCAACTGATTGAATATCAATATTGGTGATGACTAAATTGTTTGAATTGAATGAGAAGTTACCACGAACTTCACCATTTTCATCAGTACCAAAGACTGATTGACGAATAACTTGAGCTGAACGTTTGTGGAAATCATCGAATGATACAGCAGCAACAGCACCTCTAACTCTTGAAGCAATAGCTTTACATGAATCACCAACAAAATCTGGGACTTGGAAGATCTTTTGAGCATCTTCGATCTTGGTACGATCAACTTTAAATTCCCAATTGTATGAGAGTTTTAATGAAAGACGGGCATGATCGGAGGTTTCGACAATAACAACATCAGTCATGAAATCTGGACCTAAGAAAAGAGCAATAGCTTTAATTTGATGTGGTCTCTTTGGTTTATCACCAGAGAGTGAAAGAACGGTGAAATGTTCGTCTGGACCTAACATAACAAGATCTGGACCAAAGACAACACGTGATTTCTTTTCTTTGTAATCGTAAATTTGAACAGCACTATTGTGTGGGGCACGATAGGTAACAACACGAGTTGAATCACGATTTTCAGTGAATTCTGGGTTTAATGATTCTTTAGCTAAAACTTCTTCAACAGTACGTGGTAAAACTTTTTCCCAAAGTTCTTCGCTGGCTTTTAACATGTATGATTGACCTTTAATTGATGAAACTTTACCAGTTTTAATATCACGAATGTAAATACCTTCATTTTCGTCGAGTGGGATTGAGTGACGTTTTTCTAAAACTTCAACTTGAACTGGTGGAACATAGTCACATGGACCATAGATCATCCAACGATCACCAGCTAAATGTGATTCACCATCAAAACTGAAGGTTTCTTTGGCTCTTAAGAGGAGAGCTTCTTGTTCGGTTAAAACGTAGATATTGTGAATTTTGTTACCTTCTAATGATTCACCTGGGTTTAAGAAGAATGCAACTTCACCTTTACGAAGTTGTTTTTGACCAAGTTGTGGTTTACCATTTGGACCAATTGGGTCTAAAACAACACAATATTGACGATTTGAAAGAGTAGTAATGTGAACTTCACCAACAACTTGTTCGTAGACATCTGGAATGTGAGTTTCAGCATCGGTGCTGACAACTAACCATTCTTCACCAGCTTTACGTTGGACAGCTGGTTTTTTGGTTTCATCTGAGAAAGTCTTGGTGGCTTTTAAGTGAAGAGCTTTTTTATCGGTTAAAATATAAGCATTGACAATTTCGACAACTTTTTCATCAACACCTGGTAAGTAGGCACCTTGTTGACGAACTAACCATTCTTCACCAGCTTTACGTTGGGAACCTGAACGATCAATACAAGCTTTATTGGCTCTTAATTTAAGAGCTTGATTTGGACCAATAATGGTGGCTTTAATTTCTTCTTCAATTCTAACTTCAATACGTGGAATAAAGGTGTTTGGACCTTCGAATAACCATTCATCACCAGCAACGTGGGTAACTTTACCATCGGTAAAATCACGAAGAGCACGAAGTCTTAAGGCTTTTAATGGTGCAACAACTTGGAGTGGAGTAACACGACCACTGATCTTTTCACCTGGGTATAATGGGAATGGATCTTGACTGTGACGGATTTCTTCATCACCATGTCTTAATTTAACTTGACCATATTCGTCTAAAACTAATGAACCCTTTTCATCACGAACAATTGGATTTGAAACGGTACAATAATGTCTTTGTGGGATCATAATCATGGCATCTGGGCCACTGACTAACTTTTCATGATCTTGTCTGGTGAAGGTTTGTGGACCAACTTCAACTCTAGTAACATTAGTATTATTATCTAATACCTAAATTTAATAAAAAAATAATAAAATTAATATTAATATTTTTTTTTGAAATTAATTAATTAATTTATTTTTAGAACTATTGAATACTTACATGGATATAATGGAATGGTTTAATTCTAATAACAGAGTTAATATCAGCCATCTTGGTTTATATATATATATTTATTGAGTTGAATTGGTTATATAAAAAAAAAAAAAAAAAAAATCTGATAAAAAGAAATTAGATTAATATATTTATAAATATAAAATAATAGAAAAAAAAAATAAAGAAAAAAAAGTTATTAAAAAAAAAAAAAAATTTAATTATAAAAAAAATTTAAAAAAAAAAAAAAATATTTTTAAAAAAAAAAGAAAAGATATTTTAAAAAACTTTGAAAAAGTAAAGAAAAAAAAAAAAACTGAAATTTTTATGTATGTGTGATATTTATTTATTTATTTCTATAAATAAAAAAAGATAGTGTGGTTGATATATTATTATACACAAAAAAAAAAATAAAAAAATATACTATAATAATAAAGCTATATTGAATATTTTGGAGGTAGTGATTGATTAAATATAAACAAATAATAAATTGATTGATTGATTATTAAATAATAAATACCTTCTAAATTATTTGTATTGTAATATTTTTTAAAACAATATATAAATCAAAATGAAATTTTTTGCAATTTATATTTTTTTTTTTAAAAAAATCTGAATTTTTTTTTTTTCTTTTTTGTTTCTTAAAAACTGACTTTACCAATAAATTACAATTTTTTTAAAAATTTTTTTTTTTTGATATATTGATTGTTTTTATGAAGAATAATTTATGAGAAATTAATGATAAACTTTTTTGATACAAAATTAATATCAAAAAATAACATAAAATAATGATAATTTTATAATTATTTTTCAAGAAAAAAAATATAAAAAAAAAAAAAAAATAACAGATTCAAAAAAAGAAATAAATTTTAATTTTTTTTTCTGATATTAAATGGTGTTGAGAGATCCGATCAAGGAAAAAATTTTAAAAAAAAAGTGATATTATGAGAAAATAATAAAAATAACTATTTGTAATTTTTATATAATATTACATTAAAAAATAATAATAATTTGAATATAATTGTAAATTTTAATTACAAAAAATGAAATCTCTTGTATTTTTTTATTGAATCCCACTAAATTTTATTAAGTTTAAAGCTTTAATCAAACTCGAAATAGAGATAATTATTTCTACACAATTCCTCATTGTTTTAATTAATTTTTTTTTTTTTTTTTTTTTTTTATTTTTATTAAAAAAAGAGATTTTAAATAGGACTATTAATATATAAATGAAATTAGTTTGATTAAAATAGACCATTCATTCACTTGTATAATTATTGATGCTGGATTACTAGGTAATATAGAGAATATGAAAACAACTATTTTTTTATTAGCAATATTTAGATTTAGCTTCAAATAGAAATGGTGATTATTTTCAATGAATTGAAAGAGAATCAAATACAAAAGAACAATATGAAAAGAGGTATATATAACAATACCAAGAGTAATATGGTTGTATAATGATTTTGTTTTATATATTGTTATATAATTGTTTGGGTTGTTGTTAATTTATTTTTAACACCAAATACTAAACAGTTATTATTTAGAGAATTTCTTTTACATCTTTGTAATTGTCAATTTATTTCTGGTTCCATTATCCAAAAGAGTTTCAAGAAATATAATATCTTCTCCAAAATTAATTTTAGATAAAAATGTTATGTGTGTTTCAACAACCTATATCTTTTTACAAATTTATATTCTAATAATAATAATTCAATTGAAACCAAATGCTATTGCCATAGTGTTTTGCAATATTATTTTCAACAACCTATTTTTAATTTGGTTTTGAAAAGTAAAAAAAAATAAAAATAAAAAAAAAATTGGCAATTATAAACATTTATTAACCCTTTAATTTATAAATAATTAGATATTTCATTTGTTGGCCTTAATTATAATATATGCTAGTACAAATAATGTAGATTTAGATAAATGGTAATTTTCTTGATAATAATAAAAATGGTACTACAATTTAATGAACCAAATTTATTTGTTGTTAAGAAAATAAATTGTTGACCAAGAACGCTAGTAATACAAAAGGCTAAAATTAAGAGAATAATTTCAGGTTGTTCGATAATAAATTGGATTGCTGGAATGATTTCACCTCTGGTGATTGCAACTAAAAGTTAAATAGTTAAATATTAATACTAAAATAACGATTGTATTTTAAATAAAACTATAGTTACTTGTTGTGAATAAAAATAAATTCCAAATATTTGTATTTAACATCATTCTAGTTGCAGATGGTTTATAAAAAAAAATTTGATGCAGCCCCGAAAAATTAGCACACGGGGTGATATATTTTATTTATGATCATTGCTAAAAAATATAATGATATTTAAAATTATATAATAATTTTTATAAGGTATATATTAATTTGTGGATAAATGGTATAGTCACATTTTGTGTATTAAATGTGGCCTTTACAAACTATATTCATTTTTATAAAATAGAACCATACCAATATTCAAATTTAATATAAAGTTAATAATTAAAATAATGTTATTCTTTTAAATAATATTTTTTTTTTTTTTTTGTATATTATGCAATGATGGCTGCATTATAAATCATTATTAATTTTTTTTGTGTGGGGGAAAAATTATTATAATAAAATTAATGGTGGATATATAAATTAAAAATTTTTGTTATAATTTTTAATAATGATGTGCACCATCTCTTTTTCCTTTTGTAGAAAATTTTGTGGTAAATTTCATTTTTTTTATTTTATAAAATTATTATTTTTTTTTAATTAAAATTTTTTTTTTTAATTAAATTTTTTTTTTTGTGGTGTGGGGGAATTTTTATTTTTTTATTTTTTTATTTTTTTTTCGTTTTATCAATATACAAATAATTATATTCATTTATTTATTTTTTATAATAGTCAATAATAAAAATTAATAATAGCAATAATTTTTTATATAGATAAAATAAATACAATTTCAAATAATTGATAATAATTTCATCATCCATTTTCACAATCAATTCTTTAATAGAATACCTAAATTAAAAAAAAATGAACGATTATTTTGTTTTATTTTGTCAAACCATTATCACATTGGTTTTTTCCTTCTTATTTGGTTTGGGTTTAATCAAATACTATTTCAACAAAAATGGCAACTACAATGGCAACTACAATGGTAACTACAATGGCAACTTCAACTGCAATGGCAGCCACAATGGCAACCACAATGACAACCACAATTACATAAATAGAGGACCATCAAACTACCCTGCATTCAACCAAAGCGAATCACGTCATTCCGTTTCAGGTTCAACACAATCAAACAATGATCAAGAATCAGGTCATATCAATAAAAGATCTTCATCAAACTACCCAACATTTAACCAAGATGAAGCACGTCATACCGTTTCTGGCGTCCCACAAGAAAACAATTCTCAAGAATCAGGTCATATTCACAAAAGAGAGCAAACTAGCTACCCTGCATTCAACAAAAATGAATCACGTTTTTCTTTTTCTGGTTCACAATCATGCAATAACCCAGAATCACCATATCAATGTAATGGTGCATATTCCAATGGTGAACCACCATTTGTTGAGGAGTATGACGAGGATAGCGGAGAATGGGTTCCATATTCTAATTTAAATTAATGTTAGAAATAAATAATCAGCAGTGGTTCAATTTATTTTATTAAATCATCAACTCACTCATTGTCATTGCAGAAAAACCAAATCATTTAACAGTTACCCCATTACAAATCAAATCAATAATACCAATTTTAGAATCAGTGAATATATGTTTAATAGCCTCCAAGCACAAGTAAGTATTGTCACATTAAAACAAAAAACAAACCCAATATTTGAAATAAATATTTAGGATGTTTTCAGTTTTCACATAAACACTAATATTAATTATTTATTTATTAAAAAATAGGTATACCAATTTAAAGCCAATTGCCAAGTTTTCCTTCATAATCTGCTCGCCACTATTTTTAAACTAAATAAAGAATTTTTAATGGTCTATTCGTACCCAAGCCAGTCAGTTGCAATTCAATTAAACCCAATTCCTCTCTTTCATTTTCCTAAAAGATCAATTAAATAAGCTGAAATTAATATATTATCAAGTGTTGGTCGAGTACAATTCTATATTCAAATTCAAAGAACACCGCCCCGCCCCTATAGATAACGTTTCTATGTTTATAAGACGAAACCTAATTTTTTTGAAAACAATTGGGAAAGTTATCTTACTGTAGGTTTTGCCAAATTAATTAAACCTTTTACGCAAAGTTTAAATAATTTGTTTTAAGTTAGATCAAATTATTTCAGAACGTTAAATGCACCTAAATACTGAACAGTCGGTTCCATCAGAGATAAATTCATCTATAGAAGTAATAACATCCAATATAGAATTAATCAAAATGATAATAATCATTGGTAGCAACAATATTATTATAACAAAGTTTCAATATTTCAATATAATCAACTATTTAAAGAAAATCTATTGTTTTGCCCTGGCCAGGCAAATGCGATATAACTAAATAGTTTTATAAAGAAATAATTGTCCCTATGGTTTTATCAAAAATATTTAAAATATGGTCCCCCAAAGATATTAGTATCTGATGGAAGTTCAAGGTTCTTAAACGAAGTCGTCATTTCAATAAAGATTTGATAATTGTAAACGTATAATACGAGGTACCCAAGTTGTTCAAATAGAATTTCTTCAACAATTAGTGTACCAAACTAGTTTCAACTCTATTAGTATACTCAAAATTCTTTTCAGTAGTAGATTACCGAACCATCAAATGTTTCATAGAAATAGTTCAGGATCACTAATTTCAATAAATAAAAAATATAGTCAATCACTTTATATATAATTTTCAAATCTAATATATAACAATAAAATAAATGAAAAGCCAACAATAGAAATAACAATAATAACAATAATAAATAATAATAATAATTGCTTTTTGAACAACATTCCACTATGGAAGAACATTTGTTTGTTTTAGATAGATAACTATTTAAATTCTTGGTATTTATTGCTATTATAGAGAATCTATAAAAAAATATACTAAAGTAGCTCAAAGATAAACAGTATAATTATTTAATAAAGAAAAATTTTATTTTTTAAAAAAATTTTTTATAAATTTTAATTTTTTTTTTTTTTATATTTTATTATACCATTTTAAAACTATTTTATTTTAATTTTTTCCATATAAATATGGATTCTCTGAGTTGATTATTATCTGCTCCTCTTTTGTATTTTCTTTAGATATAGATATTTAAAATAAAATTAGAAATAGATATTTAAAATAAAAATAGGAAAAATATTAAAAATGGGGTAAAATATAGAAATACTTGAAGAATATGTTTATGATGATTCCTTGCCTGGGAGAACAGGCATTGTGATTCGAACATCTTGGGCAAAGCCGTCACCATTTATCTCCAGATTATTAACTTTTCGATCGGGTAGTTTTTTAACTAATTTTGTAACTCTTCCCCGTTGGTCTAGTGGTGAGGATTTTCGCCTGTCACGCGAAAGGCCCGGGTTCAATTCCCGGACGGGGAGTTTTTTTTTCAGACGATTTTCTTCCTGGTGATTTAGCTTTTTATTAGCAACTCCTGGGGGAGCAATGATAGCCAAGTGGTCGTTACCGCTCCGGGTTCGAAACCCAGTCTCAGCAAGTTTTATCGGATCCGAATCACACACGAATTGACGTTACCGTGCCCAACTTATATGCAGTGTGGTAAAACTCATATAAGCATTAAACACATACCAAACACAATAAACTGTTACTTAATATATCATTAAGAATCATCTTCACTTTTAAAAAAAAAAATATTAGCAACTCCTAACTCCATTACAGATTTGAAAAATTGAAAACTCACGTAGATGAGCTACTTTAGTTATAGATAAATATAAATAATTCTAATAATTGTAAAAACTAAAACTGAAAAATGAAAACTGAAAAATAAAATTTTATTTTTTAAATTTTTCAATTTTTTTATTTTTATTTTATTTTTAATTTTTAATTTTAAATAATAAATTATTTAAAATAAAGGAAAATATATATATTATTTAGTTGATATATAATTATAAGTGTAATATTCATTTATTACATCAAATCAAATAATGCTTAATTAACAAATCATTACCAAATATCAACAGTTTGTAGTCTCGCAAGCCTTTTAACAAGATCATATAAAAAATAACTTTTTATAATATCGGTTTTATAAACTCATCTTACTACCGTTCGACAGATCTTTCAAAGATAAACATATCCACATTAACTATTACTCCAATCTCTAAATCTCACAGAGCTGGATATAATTTAAAATCTCAATCTTTAATCAAAAAACCGATTAAATCCATCTATCTTCTACAAACAACCGGATTAACTTCCAATCGAATTATAAACCATCATAATTCATCCCAAAATGCTATATTCTGAACTAGCTGCCACCAACAACCCTAGAACCCCACACCTCAACGATGATACCACCAAATTCATCAATGATTACATAACATCGATAAAATCTAACAGTTTTGAAGAAACAATCAACAACAACATCAACCAATTGAATATTCTCTAATATTATTAATATTAACAATTTGTCAGCTCTAGAGAGAAACAACAATCACTATTCTCTAACTCTAGAATTCCCTAACAAATCTGTTGAGGATATACTAAATATTAGAAAAAAATTAGTTGAATATGGTATCACAATGGATAAATCATACCCAGACAAAAAAAAACACTACAAAGTCCACACCTTAATAGATTCTAAAGAAAATATTATAAAACTTATTAGAGACCGTCTTAAACTCGGTTTCTACACATCCAGTAAAGACTACCATATTATTACTGGCTCAATGAAATGCCCAGAGGATTACAAATGGGCAGCAGATGAACTCCTCAAAACTTCATTCAACAACAAACTCAAATATGAACTATTCACATCACATGTTCATAACAATTATTACCATGCATTTGGTTTAATCGAATTCAAAAAAGATATTGATTTAAAAACAAAAAAAAATTAAGGGCCACAACATTAAATTCACCATCAAACGTGCATCTAACCGATATAGAATGGATAAAATTAATAACAACAACCCATCAAATGATAAAATCAATATTAAATCAAAAGATAAGGTCTCTCCACTTACTAATAATAATCAAATCCTTTCTGTCGATAATTATAAATTAGACCAACCAATAACCATTTCGCCAAAAAAAATCAACCAAATCAGGAAAAGAAAAGCAAATTCCCAAAACATCAGTCTTGATGACCTATCACCACAAATAATCAATAACAACCTCAATAACAAAAAACAATCAAACCCAAACAAAGTTAAAGATTTTAAAAACTTTATAATTAAAATTTTACTGATTAGTTTAAGGTATTTGCTTTTAATTATCTTCACTTTTAAAAAAAAAAAAAAAAATAATAATAAATAATAATGCTGAATTAAATAAATGAAAAGTAAAAACTGAATTACAACTATAGAAATATAATAAAAAAAAAAAAATTTATATTTTTTAAAAAAACTCTTACTACCACCCAATTTTTAAACAAAAAACCTTTTTTAATTTTATAATAAAAATTAATATTCGCAAAAGAAATAAAATAAATAATTTTTTTTAAAAATTAAGATATTTAAATCATATGATGCCTTAAAATAATTAGTAAGTTTGATTATAATGTTTTTAAAGAAAGTATTTTTAAAATATTGATATTTGGTAATGATGTGGTTGTTTTGTGTGGTTATTCTTGATGTTTTTAAAACTCTTATGTATTCTTGTGTAAACATTACAAAATAAGGTAATATTTTTTATTGTTTTGAAAGTAATTTCAAAAAATATTATTTTAAAAAATAGATAAAAATCTTGATTTTTGTTTTACCTAAAAATTCAAAAAAATAGATTTTATAATAAAATTTATGTTTTTTTTTAAAATTTTAATTTTTTGTTTATATATAAAATTTATTTTTTTTATTTATTTTATTTTAATTAAAAAAAATGAAATTATTACTTGTATTACTTTTTATTTCTTTCTACTATTCATTTGGTCAAAAGCAATTTGTAAATTTCCATCCATATGTAACTTCACAGTGCTCTGATACTCAATATGGCGTTGGTTTTTCAGTTGTCACAAGTAAGTATTGTCAAAAAATATAAATATTGATATCGATGTATTTTTATTAAATATTGAATTTAATAGATGAATGTTTAAATGATCTTGATTATTTCTACACTGGCTATCAATATTACTCCTATTTTACACGTACCCAAGTCAATTCAAATAATCAATTATTGGTTTTTGTAACACAGTATGGACAAAGAAATTGTTCAGGTCCAGAGGTAAAAACATTGTATTATATAAGTGACACATGTGATTCCTCGCCAATAATGGATCAAAATAAATTCTCACCATATTCATATGTTACAGTCACAAACAAACCATCATTCTCAAATAACAGTATTGTTAATGCAGTTTATTCAAATGACCAAGATTCATCCTCAGCTGATAATAATGACTCTCCCGCAGTATGCAATAGTGGCAATCTCTTATTTGCTACAACTATGACTGACGGTTTTAAGGCCATTTTCCCAAATGGTGCTTACGAATTTTTCAATTGTGTGAAAGGACAACCATTTTTATATTCCTGCCTTAATAATAAGTGCAAAAACGTACCTATGGCACTTGAATGTTCATCAAGCCAAAACGAACTCACCAATGAGTCTTGTTTCTGTTGATTTTAAATACAAAGATAATTTAGATATAAATAAATCTACTTTTTAATTATATCGGATTAAATTTAAATGGGATTAGTACTGATCAGTAGATAACTTTAAAAATTTTATTATATATTTCCAAAAAATAGTTTTTCAAGATTTGTCTACAATATTGTTTTTATTAAATAGTTTTTTTTTCTTAAGAAAATCAACAAATTTTTTATAAAAAAATAAAATTAATAAATTATAATAAATTAAATATTTACTTTTATCTCCATTTCCTTCTTTAGGACCTCCTGTACAAGAGTGAATTCTGAAGATATTGATGTTTATATACATTTTGAAATTTAAATAGATAATAGGATGAATTTATAAATCTTCTTTGTGATTTTTTTACAAAATAAAAGGGAATACAGTAAAAAAATTCTTTAAAATATAAAAGAAATTCTTGTTTTTTTAGTAAAAGAAATTAAAATAAATTATCACACTGGCGGATTAAAATGGGATATGAAAAAAATATTTTTGGTTTTTTTTTTTTTTTTTTTTAAATTTTTTATTTTTTTATTTTTAAATTTAAATTAATATGCAATAAAATAATATGTATAAAATTTGTAGATTCAGCAAACCAATAAGCGGAATAATTAAAAACACACTTCCAATTGCAAATAATAGTGAAATAAATTCATCATATACACCAAAATTTTATTCATCCTCACCAAACAACAATTTTAATAACAGTAAATATCATGATAATAGTAAACACCACTCACCAAATAAAGAAACTAAAGAATCAGCAAGTTTAAAAGTAGATAATTTAATATTAAAACATCTATCAATTAAAAAATCATCGTTCACAAAAGATGAAGATACTATGGTTACGTCCCTAATTACAGAAAAAAAAATAGATGAGGCAATTAAATATTTCAATATCTTTTCAGATAATCTGAATTATTTTAAAAAAATTGAACATGAAACATTCACTTTATTGCTTTTAGAAGTTTTAAAACAGCCACAGCAACTATCGACAACAGATTTAATGAAGGCACAAGAAAAGATACATATGACAAAAGCAATAAATTTAATAGTAACATTTCTTAGACACGAAACCAACAAGGTTGAAGCATTACAAAAATTAAAAAAAGCAGATCAACAAATCAACGAGTTTATTCAAAATAATAATGAAATTTGGTTTAAATTTTTATCAAGAACCAATGGAGATTTAATACTAATGAAGGAGATATTGCCAGAGTCCACCTACAAATCAACAGAATTTTTAAATTTTTGGTTAGAAAGAATTTCAAGATCGTTTAATTTAGTTACTGATTTCGATTTAGTTTGGAAGCTTTTAGAATATATGGTACAGAATGAAATACCGCTTCGTAAGAAACCAATAGATTCATTCACATCATTTGTGTTTCAATCTGATCAACCCCTCACACCAAACCAAATCAAAACAATCAACGACATCGAATTACAGTATCCATCAATAGCTAGAATTTTTAATGACTTAAAGTTAAAATTAAAATTTTATCCTTCAAATAACTTCAATCAATATAACGAAAACCAATTCTCAAAAGCAGATTTGGTAAGATCATTAGAAAAGCTTCAAAATATGAAAATGTTAACACCAAATATAGTTGTGGTATATGTAAACCTAGCAAGTAGAGTTTACCCAATAGATCAAAATCCTACCAACATATCAAAGTGGCAACAAATTTTAGGTCATAGCAATAATAAAAATAAAAACAAAAATTATATTACACCCGAAAAACAACTATTGAAGCAAGAATGTATTATAGCAGTTTGTTTAGCACTAAAACGTGCAAATAAAATCGATTTATTACAATCATTTATTAAAGAGAATTCAAATATTATAGGAGGTTTAAATTTAAAGGTTTTAGTAGATATCTTATCACCACTCTCTCCATTGGAGCAAGCTAGCTTTATAGAAAATGATTTAAAATATAAAAGAATTAATCCAGCCTCCACCGATTATGTTGAACAATTACAATCAAAACTACTAAATCCAAACGATTTCCCCAAGCTAGATAAATTCATTCAAAAAAAACCTAAATTCAATGAAAATTTAGAAAGTTTTGTTGAAAACTTTTCAAATATTTATTTCAAATAAAAAACAATAAAAGGTATCACTTTAATTTATTTAATTAAATATTTAAAAATAAAAATAAAAAATTAAAAAAAAAAAAATGAACTTTTTTTTTTATTTTTTTTTTTATTTTTTTATTTTATAAATTTTTTTTTTTTTATAAATATATACATTTTAAAATTTCTTTTTATTTAAATTAATTATTTTAAATAGTTAGTATTATTTAGAAGAAATATTAAAAAATGGATATATACAAAGGTAGGAGACTATTGTCTCTTTACCTTTGTGTTGTTGTTTTATTATTTATATTTATAGGTGAATCATCATCTATATCTATAACATCACCAAAACATTCATGTCACGAATTGGGCTTTACAGATTCACTTTTGTGTTCAACATGTAAAGATTTTGCAGAATTTGTTGGAGATTCAGGTAAGAATATATTTAATAAACAAAGCAAATAAAATCAAAACAAAAACTAATAAACCATTTGTAAATTTAGATTTAAACAATGAATGTGCCAAATGTTGTGCAGAAGAATCAGAGAATATAAAGAAAACTTACCTTTCAGCCACATTGATAGCATGCAAGTGACGTTTAGGGGCTTTCCCCCACATTAAAGATTTCATTGATAACAAAGCCAAAGATTACAACAAATTCAAATTTACTCACGAACAAGGTGCCAATCCACGTTTAGTTCTCCGTGATACTGAAGGTAAAGAAGAAGAGATCAGTATTGATGGCTGGAAATCAGAAAACTTAGAAGAATTTTTAATCCAAAACAATTTAAAGGAATAATTTAAATTGTTTTTTTATAGAAAACACATATAGTTTAAAATCGATTGTAATGATTATGTACTTGAAAAACATTTAACAATGCCATTTACATTTGATAAATCTTTTTTAAATTTGTTTTCAAAAAACAAAAACAAAAATAATTAATAAAAGAAATTATTTACATGTAAACTTTAAATACCTTTATTATTATATTTTTAATATTATAATTATTATTATTAAATTTATTTTATAATTATTATTTCTTTTACTATTATTATTATTTCTAATATAATACAATTTCTAAAATTTTTATTTTTATTATTTTAATATTACTATTTTTTTTTTTTATTATTATTATTTTTAAAAAAAAATTATTATTTTTTTTTATTTGAATTAAAAATAAAATGAAATATATAGCTCTAAGTATATATTTAATTTTATATTTATATTCTTTTTTTTTTTTTTTAATCTCTATAGTTTATAATGTGGTTGGAGTTTGCGAACATCAATGGGATAATCTTTGGTGGGACGGCATCTACTTGATTACTGTGTGCGATATATGTTTTGAATTCACTGATTGAAGAGGCAACATAATGAGAAAGTATAGGGTCATGAAACCTCAATTCGGGGCATCTCATTTGATCCTGTACCTTCTTTGTTAAACATTCAATTTCGTAAAACAATTTGATATCCAAAGCATAGTCTTTGTTGAACTTCTCGGTAATTGCTGATAACGGTAATTTTGGTAAAGGCTTTAGGGTTTGGCTATCTTTAACATTACCTGCTGGACCTGTTGAGTCTGATGGTGGTGATTGCGAAGTTGGTGATGCTGCTAGTGATGGTGAATTGCTTGCTGTCATAGTAATACTATTTGTTTCTTGATGTTCTGAATCTATAATTACAAATGAATCCTCTGGTTCAATATTATGATTTGGTGATGAAGCCAAAGGTGATGATGAAGTTGGTGATGTTGAGCTATCTTCAATTAATTTTCCACTGCTATACGATCTTGGTGGTACTGGTGGTGGAACTTTTCTATTGCTACCAATCTTTTGGCCATTGGCACCAAGTCTACTACTGGTAGTACCATTACCATTGGCATTTCCATTACCATTACCATTTCCATTACTACTACCATTTAGACTATTAGCTAATCTTGAAGAGGAGGAATAGTTATGATTATCATCTTTGCTTTCAATATATTTTGTAGGAGAAAGAGCATTTCTGGTATTAACTGGAGTATTAGCATGGGTAAGTTTACTAAATTCTTGAAGAGTAGCACCAGATTCGTAAAGCTTGGCTCTATTGATTCTTACCATTTTATATAATAATAAATGATGATAGGCATTTCTTACTGGTTGATCCCAATGTAAAAATAATGGGTAGAAATATTTGTCTAATAAGAGATCGGAAAAGAGAACTTTTCTTAAATTTCTTTGGAAGCAATCTGAAATATTGTATAGCATTTGTAAAGCTCTAATTAAGACTTGATGATGATCGGCGACAATAATACTTTCAATACCTTCACAGAAAAAGTTTATATCGAAATTGTCTGGTAATACACCAAATTCTTTAAACCAAACCTCGACCAGAGCAAGAGTGGTTGATACTACGGATAAATCGAAAACACAGGTCTTTAAAAAGATGGTTTTTATCATGACGTCAATGATATTATCGTTTTTACAACACTGAATTAAGGTAAGTTGAGCATCCAATGAAGGAGTTGGTCTTGAGAGTGGAGGTGGGGCTTGATCTCTTGTTTTAATTTCGTGTAATAGTGCATAAGTAATTGTGAAAAATCCTGGAATGGTTTTCATATCAACTGGTTCACCTAAAACATATTTACAACTGGTAAACCAATCTTTAAAAAATATAAAAAACACACTTTCTTTTCTGGCTAAATTATCTATCCAACCTTGAGGTATATTATCAATTGAAAATTCTTCAATAGTATTATTATTTAATATATTATTTTGGCTATTATTTAAATTAATTTGATTATTATTACTATTATTATTATTACTATTATTAACATTATTATTATTATTATTATTATTATTATTATTATTACTATTATTATTTTGATTGCTACCCATTTGCATTAAACAAAAATGAAATGGTGCTTTATCTGGTTTATCTCCAACTACTAATAAATGTTTTAAATTTGTGGGAATTGGAAAATTTGACACAATATCTTGAATTTCAGTTTCTGGTGGAGTTAAAGCTTCCAAAATTAATCTTGCAACTTTTGGAATTCTAAAAAATGATGCTGATAAAAACTAAATAAAAAACCAATATTAATATCTCTATTATTATTATTATTATTATAACTATTTCTAAAGGTCTAAACTTACTTTTGAACAAAAATGGGTTAATGGAATTGAAAAAAATAATGGTGACGATAATATTGTTGCAACAAATGAAAAGGTTTTATGTACAATTCTTCTATACTTTGCCAAAACATCGTTATTAAAAAATGACCATGGTCTTTGAGTAATTGGATCAATATTTGAAATTGAACTATCATATTCTCTTCTACGACAAATTAATAAAATACATTGATATAATAAGGTTAAATCTTTATCAATTGAATGATGCTTTTCGACAAATAATAATAATACAACCCAGAGAGTAAGAAGAGAATCTCTGCATGAATGAGTGATAACTTTAGTTGACCTTAAAACCCCACCATTTTCCTCTTTATTTTTTCCGCTGATTGTTAAATCTCTATATGTTGATAACAACCCGCTGCTACTGCTTGAACCACTATTAATGATTGATGTGGAGGAAGGTGATGTAGCAGTTGACGAGGTTTGGTGATCCTGGCTACCACTTAGTGATGATGATTCTTTACTTACTCCACCGCTACTGTTCAAATGATGATGATGGTCTTTATCCTTATCTTTTTCTTTTTCTTTACTCATACCATTGGATGATGATAAACTTGCTTGATTTAAATTATTTGTTGTATTGCTGTTGCTTGATGATGGTACAAAATTTGAAGTTGGTGGTGAGTCATCTCCATCACCTTTACTTCTTGATTTATATTGTGTAATCTCTAGTGATTGGTTAAGTTCTCCTAAAATTGCTATAAGTTTTTGGTATGTTTGAATTGCCTTTTCCTTCTTTTTTTCTTCTGAGCCACCAAGATTAGATTCAAATATTTGAACCAATGATATAGTTTGATGAACTTTTTTCTCTACAGATGCACACCAATGTTTATATTTTAATTTTGGCTTTTCGATTTCCCTACTACTAAGCGGATTTGAACTGCTTTGACCACTAGCTAAATTTGGATCAATTAATTTTGATATCATATTCTTAATTCTATCAAATTCATTCATTTTTGTATTATTTCTAATATCCTTTTATTTTTTAAAAAAAAATAAAAAGGAATATTGCTAAATAATTTATTTATTATTATTATTATTATTACTATAGTTGTATTGAAATAGCTATTAATATTTTTTTTTTTTTTTCTATCTATTTATATATCTTGGTTCTATATCTATTATTAATTATTATTATCTATAAAATAATGTGGAGGAAATTTTTTTTAGATATTAAAAAATTTTAAAAAAAAAAAAAAAATTTTAAAATTTTAAAAAAAAAAATAAAAAAAAAAAAATAAATAAAAGGTTAGCAGAGAAAATTTTTATTTTATGTTTATTATTTTATATAGATGAGTATATAGTAATTTAATTGTGCTAGGTGTTATTTTTGGTGTTATTATTATTGTTTTTATGTATATATATAATTACCTTGTGTTATATAAAAAAACTTGTAAATTGGAGAAAATAAAATAAAAAAAATTTAAAAATAAACACGGATAACAAAAGGTAAAAATTTAAAACAAATAAAGAAATTTACAATGCGGCGAAAATTACTATTACAATTATAATGTTGTTATAATATTATTGTTATGTTTTTTTTTTTTTCTTTTGATTTAAAAAAAAAAATGAAAAATTTGATATGATAAGTTTTTTTTTTTTATTTTTTTATTTTTTTTTTTTTTAAAAAAAAAATTTAATGGTGTTACAAGAAAATATAATAAAATAAAGGAATGCACTCTAAATTTAAATTATTGTTTTTATTATTTTATTTATAGTTTATGATGGGTATAAGTGAAAAAAAAAAAAATAAAAAAAAAATAAAAAAAAAAAAAAATAAAAATTAAACAAATGGTAAAAAAAAAAATTAAAAAATTAAAATTAAAAATAAAACAAATTTATCAACAACAAACACAACAGTTATTTTCTATCTTTGGTGTGGATGTGTCTATGTGTGGTGTGTGTGTTTGTGTGAGTTTATATGTTGAAATGAAATTATGAGTGGGATAGATGTGTATAAATTAAAAAAATTTGGTTTAAAAAAATAAAAAAAATAAAAAAAAAATAAAAAAAATTTTAAAAAAAATTATCAAAATTGATTTTTTATTTTTTAAACCAAACAAAATTATTTTTGAAACAATAATAATAGTTATTATTATTTTAAAATTTTAATCGCCTTTAAAAAGGTATTTTTTTATTTATTTGAAATTTTTTTTTTTTTTCCTTTTTAAAAAAAAAAAAAACTATTATAAATTATTAATTGATTTGGATAGTTTTGATAAACGAACGGTTTGGTCCAAACCACCAGTAACAACTATATTTTGAGAGGGGTGCCAGTCAGCAGAGACAACAGGTCCAGAATGACCGGTAACCGAAAGTACAGGGGAACTTTGATCTACATTATATATGTAGGCATATTTATTTGAAGAGCCAACAATAAAGGAGCTTTGATCAGAGTTGAAAGATATTTTGGTTGTTCGATGTGGATCTGAAATGAAGCCGGGATATTCATATTCCTTGATTGGTTTGGACATGGTATGGATATTCCATTGATATATTTTACCGTCTTTACCTAATGAATAGAGTTTGTTGTCATCAGAACAAAATTGAACTGATAAAATTTCGTCAGAGTGTGCTTGCCAACCGGTAATTGTCGAGCCACTTTTAATATCGAATATTCTAATGATACCATCTGAACAACCTGTAGATAAAAGATTACCAGTATTATTGAATGACATACTATTAATAATTGCACCGCTTGTGGTTGATGATAATTTCTCTTCAGTTTTTAATGTTCTCATATTCCAGGTATAAACAATACTATCGCTTCTTGATGCATTAGTTGAGGAGGTTGCGAATGAATTACCATTTGGATTACATACAATATCTTCAACACGTGGGAATTCATTTGATGTATTTATATCACCAACAGCTTTATCGGTTTGTGTGTTCCATAGTTTAATTTTTGCATCGGTTGTACCACATAACAACACTTTTGATTTACTCTCCCATTCTAATGATATGACTTCTGATAAACAATAGATAGTTGTATGCTTGATAAATCCATCAACACTACACAAACGTACTGTACCATCAACTGAGCTTGATGCAATTTTTGACCCATTCGACAAGTATTTACATCTTGTTACAGGTGATGAATGTGATGTTACAACCTCTTGTGAGTCAATTGTATATATTATTTCACCATTATTACTATTACTATTATTGTTATTCTTATTTAATTTTTTAAAACCATTTTCATCTATTTCTGACATTTCAAATGAATTTGTAAGCTGAGATAATCCTATTATTCCACTATTACTATTATTGTTATTTATAGTATTATTGTTGTTTATATTACTATTATTATTACTATCTTTATTTAAAGTTGATGGTGAGGTTTGATTTGTTGAGCCACTACTAATACTATTTGTTGCGGATTTTCTCGATCTACCTATACCTATAACTACAGTTGTTTTATCTTCATCATTATCATTAGCTAAACCATTTATATTTGAGCTTGAAGCAGAGGTTGTTCTTGGTTCAAATCTTTTACTAACTCTAGAAAACGAGTTCATTTCATTACTGTTAAAACCATCATTATTTACATTTTGTAGCGAGTTTAATGAGTTTTCTTTCTTTAGTATCGCACTTGTGTTTGCCATTATGTCTTTGCTACTAATTGATTCTCTCCTGTTGTGATATTCAAATTTATCAAGCTGTGCTCTTAATTCTTCATTTTGTTGTAATAAATTTTCGACTTGTGCCTCTAACCTTTTTCTATTTTGTCTCTCTAAATTGAATTGTAAAATTTTTGGTAATGCTATAATAAAAGGAAATAAAGAAGGTTAATTTTTTTTTAAATATATCTTTGAAATATAAAAGTATTATAATACACACGAATGTTTTTGAAAATTGTTGTCAAAAAGTTTTTTAATGATAATGAAAATGATTCAGTCCAATTTTTTGTAAAATAAACTTCGAAGAATGGATCGAGTTGTGGGTTTTTAATATATGGTAATGCTTTGATTTTTAAGATTAGAAATTAAAATTAGTAATTAAATCTTAAAGATTGTTATTTATTTTGATTAAAAGTATATATATACATACCAAACCAATGTTGCCACTCGGGGTCTTTACATAGCTCCAAACTATATAAATCAAAAAATTCTTTAACTTTATCCATTTTACTATTATTTACACAATAAATAACATAGTATTTTTTTAAAGAGGTTGCTAATTTTTTAATGCTTGAGGGTAAATCGTTACTGTTTCTGAATGTTGTATAGTTTGATAATGATTGTACACCATATTGTTGGTTTATATTTTGTTGATTGAATGGTGAGTTATTATTATTATTACCATAGCCATAATTGTTTCTATTATAATCGATTTTGCTAAAGAATGAAGAATCTAAAAAGCTCCATAGTTCAATAACATGGGCAATATCATAATTTGAAATATATATATTAATCTGATCTAATATTTTCTCTACTTGAAATCCTTTTAACTTGTCTGATTTTTTCTCTATTGAAAAGGTATGATTGGTTTGAGTGAATCCTCTAAACAATAGGTACTCTTTAACTAATTCATCTAAATAATTTAAATTGTTTGGGTTCATTTTTTATTTATTAATTATAATGATAGTGATTCTTTTGTGTATAATACATTTATTAAATAAAAATAAAAAAATAAAAAAATAAAAAAAATAAAAAAATATTATAATAAAAAAACTATTTGATTTAAATATAGTAAAATATTGTAATTGGTTTTATTATAAAATTCTTAAAATATATAAAACAAATAAAATAGACAAAATTATATAGTACAAAATGGTTATTATTAAAAAAATTAAAAAAATAAAATAAAAAAATTAAAATAAAAAAATAAAAAAAAAATTTAGATTTTTTTTTTATTTTTTCATATTTATTTTTTTTTATTTTTTTTTTTTTTTACTAAAATATGAACGAAAAATTAAAGTTAATATCAACATTAAAACATTACAGAAATTTAAAATGCCTGGAATATTTACAGAATTTAGGAAATGCAACAAATAGTTTTATATCTGTGGATCGTTTAAAAAAATTTCAAACAACATTAGAAAGTAGAAATAAAAGGTAAAAAAAAAAAAAAAAAACAGTTCAAGAAATGATTATGATTTATTAATAATATATTTATTAGATTTGTTATTGTTTGCGAAAATTTAGAAAATCAAGGAAATGTTAGTGCTATTGTCAGATCAGCGGATGCAATGGGTATTCAGCATATTTATTCAATTACCGAGGAGGGTATTGACCAACAATTTGCAAATTGTGGAAGAGTTTCATTAGGATCAGAAAATTGGTTAACACAAAAAAAGTTTAAAAAAACATCAACATGCATAGAATATTTAAAAAATAAAGGCTATTCAATTTGGGTATCCGACCTATCAGCCACCTCATTTTCGTTCGATAAATTAATATTTCAACCTTCAAAAATAATACCTCAGTTCGATTACTTTTTAAATCAAACAATAAATAATTTAGAAATTTTAAATAACAACAATAAAAATGAAGATTTAATATTAAAAAAAGATATAATAATAAATGAAGTATATAAAAGTAATAATATAGATAACAAGAATTTAAATAATTTTATAAAAAATAATGAAAAAATAGCATTGGTTTTTGGAAATGAAACTGTGGGTGTTTCCGAAGAAATGAAGAGTCTTGCAGATAGAAGGTTTTATTTACCAATGATTGGTATGGTTCAGTCTTTTAATGTCAGTGTAAGTGTTGCAATGACTTTAGCTTATTTGAAAATGCAAGGTGTTTTGGTTGGTGATTTATCAACTTTACAAAAAAATCAATTATTATGTCGATGGGTTTTAAGTAGTATCCAAAATAACAGGTTATTCTTACAACAATTAAACTATGATCCAGATTATGTTTTAGACATATTAAATAAAGAATTCGATTAAATTATTACTTTAAAAAATAAAATGTTTTTTTTTTTTTTTTTTTTTTTTTTTAAAAAAGTTTTATATTTTTATTATATTTTTTTAATTAACCAATTCGTGATGATGGGATTGACTTGAAGCGATAGTTGCTAATGATTCGAGATTAAAAAAGTCAAATGAGGTCGCTTTTAACTTTTCAATTGAAGAATGGTTTGGAGATGAATATGGTGAAGATAATGGTGAAGTTGTATTATTAAAAGAAATATTTTTGTTATTATTGTTATTATTAATTATATTTTGCTTTTTAATTTTTGGTAACATATCGTCATCGCTACTATTATCACTGTTACATGATAATGAATTATTACTATTATTTAAAATTGATTTTTTTATATTATTGTTATTGTTATTTATTGGTTGATAATAAAATTCGCCATTACTTCTAACTTTTTTCATTACTGGTTGACTATCTTCTTCTTCTTCTTTCTTACAATCGATTATATTATTTATACTGAAAGCACTGTTTTTATTGAAGTTACTATTATTATATGAAATTGATGGTAAGGTGTTTTTAATTGTATGGGTTGGAACTGGTGAATTTCTGTGGATTTGGTTATTATTAATACTGTTACTATTATTGTTACATGGGGATGATAGTGAAGAAGATGGTGGTGATGAGGGAATTGGTGATGATGGAATTGGTGATGATGATGGGCTTGTAAGGTTTGAGATTGTATTATTAATGGTTGGTTTGTGTGGAGTTGGTCTGAAAATATTTGGTGGTGTATGGTTTGTTTCTTCACTACTACAACTTTCGAAAGATGGTGAAGAATTATTTGAATCAATTAAACTGCTTAATGGTGAGAGGGATTTATTTGATGAGTGATGATTCATCTGTGACATTTGATGGTGATTCATTTGTGACATATGTGACATTTGGTGATGGTTCATTTGCATTGGATGACCCATATGGGACATTTGATGATGACTCATGTGTTGCATTGGATGACCGTACGACATTTGTTGGTTGTGATATTGTGAGTTAGAATTTAATGGTGGTAATATATTACCTGCTTTACCAGTTAATTGATTATATCTTGTTTTACATTCGAGAGCGGTTCTAAGAGTGTTGGTATGTTTTAATTTTGCAAGGTATTCAGAAACTTCGAGCCATGAAAGATTTTCACCCATTTCATCAACTTTCTTTAATAAAACATCATCTTCTTTTGGAACCCATGAAACCTCTCTAGATTGAAGTGACTTTAAATATTGATATCTGCATTGAATATCAGTTCTTTTACAAATTCTTTTGGCAATTTTCTTCCATGAGCTACCATGTTGGTTTACTAATCTTAATAAAAGTTCTTCTTCATCTTCATCCCATGGTCCCTTACGAATATCTGGTGATAACACACGCTTCCAATGTTGGGCACATTGTGCTCCAGTCTTTTGGCCACCCATTTCGGCTGAAATTCTTTTCCATTTCTTTTCACCATAAATATTTACTAATTGGAATAATTTTTGGTCTTCTTCTTCTGTCCATTTATTTGGTGATCTTCTTATACCATTTTGAATTTGACTTCTGCCTCTCTAAAATTAATAAAAAAAAAATTAATATAAATTATTTTTTTATTTTTTTATTTTTTTATTTTTTTATTTTTTTATTTTTTTATTTTTTAAATTACAAACCTTTGATGGTGATGGAACATCATCTTTTGGGCTTAAATCATATTCGGTATCGGAAAATTCGTCGTCCATTGATTCGTTATAAATTCTATCCGATTGAAATTGTGGAGATATATTATATTTTGGAATTGGATTCATTAACAAGGCTTCTGACATGTTTAATATATTTATTAATAAAAGTGATTATTGAAAAGCTTTGTTAAAAGATTTTTTTTTTATCTAAAAAAAAAATTATTTAATTATTGGGGAGCTGTTATATGTTTTGTTATATATTTTTTATATTTATTATTGATTATATATTATTATTATTAATAATTAATTTTTTATATATAGATCTTGTGCGCTATTAATTAATTAATATTAATATTATATAGATTAAATTATTTTTTTTTTTACTATTATTTTAAAGATTTAATTTAAAGAAAATATTATTAAAAGGAAAAAAAAAAAAAAAAAGTTAATATATAAATATTTATAAATAAGAATTTAGATTTAAAAAAAATAAAAAAATAATATATGGTTAGGTGAATTGTGATTGTGGAGATATTTTATAAATAATTAATTTAAAAAAAGATATGTATAAAAAATATATTTGTTAATGTGAAGTTTATATATGATGATGTTATTATTGTTGTTTTTTATTATTATTATTATTTATTAAGAAAAGAGAAAAAATAAAAGAATAAATGTTTATTTTGAATTTAACATAAAAAAAATCCATTAATTATTAAAAAAAATAAATAAAATAATATTTATATATATACATGTTTTAACATTTATATACATATTATTATTATTTTATTATGTGTGTGGTTTAATTGGTGGGGGTTAAGTTTTTTGTATATGTGTGTAAGTGGTTTAGTTTTATTTTTTTTAAATTAAAAATATATATTTATAGTGCAGGGGTTTATAAAATTTTAAATTTAAATATAGAGTAAATTATATTATAATCATGATGTATAATCAATCATTTTGATAATAAACGATATTTAAATACAAAAAACAACACACCCCTTAACCACCACACTACACCCACATTCTTTTTATACATATATGTATTTTTTATATTTACAACAATTGTTGAGTAAAATAATTAAAATGTTGTTGACAATGTAAAGTAAGGTAACAATATGATAACTACATATTTTGTATAATATTAAAATATAAATAAAATAATATATATATATGTATGTTATTAATAGTGGTTTTATTACTTTTTGGTAGTAGTAAAAAAAAAACAACAAAAACAATTATAATAATAAGCCCCAATACCAACATCCACCACTTAATTAAATTTATGTATTATAAAAAAAAACAAATAATTATTATAATTATTTTTATTAATGTATAAATGTGATTTTTATTGTTATAACAACACAATAAATAAATTTAACAAGAATTTGAAAAACAATAAAATAATAACTACTTAAGTGTAAATTATAACAAGAAAAATAGAAAGGAAAATGGTTGTTAAAAAAATATAAAATAAAAAAGTTTTATACAATACATTTGATTTTTAAGTTGATTGAGAATTTTTTTTAAAAAAAAAGTATATGAATGTAGAAATATTATTGGTATGATATTATAGCAGCGGTTGTTGCAAATTCAAAAATAAGATTATAGATAAATCTCTGTGATTTTAATTAACAATTTATAAATATCTTATTTTTGTTAATAAATTATTTTAATTTTATTATTAAATAATGTATTTATTATTGTTGTGATTGTAATATTTAATTTTCGTAATAATAATTAGATATAAATAGTTTTTTTTTTTTTCTTTTTATTTCTTTTTTTTTTTTTTTTTTTTTTAAAAAAGAAAATTATAAAATAATAATTTTAAAATAATAAAAGAAAAATGTAATTTATTGGTGGTAGAAATAAATAATAATAATAATAAATGTAGTGAGAGTGGTGAGTAGTGGTAGTAATAATAATTGTAGTGGTAATATATAAATAATAATTATTATTTTATCCACTACTACTATTACTACCACTACTAAGAAA